GGGACAATAAGAAGTCTCCCAGGAATGTCAGTTACCACCTTTATTCGGTGTGTTTTAGATGCAATGTTTACAGGGTATTAGAAGAGACACCACAGAATTGTCCCCTTAACTGGAAGGCACAAGCCGTTCTACACCTGGGGACATCTGTCCAATCATGAGGTGAAATTCACCTGTAGGTAACTCTAATCCCATTCCGTACAAGACATTTAAACACCATCCCCATGACACAGCTGCTGAGACATCCTGTTGGATGAGAGAGTATGGTCTTATCTCATAGTCAGCTATGAGACTTTTCTGACTTTAGCTCGTCTTTCGCCATGGTTTGGGGTTTCACTACAAATGTTTCTACAACCCCCCTCACCCCACCAAAGAGCATCCTGAAGTAAGCTGGGCAGTTGTTTCATCGTGCACAGTTTTTCTGACTTGTGGTTTTCTGGCACTGACGATGTCTCTAGTTGGCACAGATTTACGGGAACATCTTCACCTTGTGGATGGGACATAATCCTGTCATCATACTGAATGGATTCCCAACTGTGAAGGATGGCCTGACTATCCACTCTGAAGCCATCTCTGGCCGCCCAACAACCCCTTTCTTTCAGAAAACAGCCGGAGGAAAGGGTAACATTTTCTTTCCTTATAAACTATACAGAAAAAAATAAGTTCACATTATCCTTTAAGTGTGGCTGCTCCCTGCTTCCATAGTCATCTCCCCATGGGAATGCTGCTGCAAATGGGTAAAATCACTACCGGAGTGACTTTTCTGATACTAATCAATAAGACAAACAACCACTGAATAGAACAGAGGAGCAAAATCCTGACTAATAAGTTTGTTTGAAGCATCAGCCAGGAATGTGAACATCAGCTGGCATTACTCCCATTGCACATACGCTTTACAGCAGGGGCGGCCAACCTGAGCCTGAGAAGGAGCCAGAATTTACCACACTAATATGTAAGCAGCCCCCCATTAGCTCCCCCGACTCCAACCTGCAGCGCCTCCTGCCCGCCGGCAGCCCCACCAATCAGTGCCTCCCGCCCACTGCGATCAGCTGTTACGCGGTGTGCAGGAGGCTCTGGTGGGGAGGGGGGAAGAGCGAGGGCATGGCAGGCTCGGGGGAAGGGCTGGAGTGGGGGCAGGGCCTGGGGCAGAGCAGGGGGTTGAGCACTGAGCACTCTCTGGCACATTGGAAAGTTAGCATCTATAGCTCCAGCCTCGGAGTCGGTGCCTATGCAAGGAGCTGCATATTAACCTCAGAAGAGCCGCATGCGGCTCCGGAGCCACAGGTTGGCCACCCCTGCTTTACACAGTACTAGTTTTGTGATAGTCATCTAATGTGGTGGCTTTTTAACCTGGGCAGGATCTTCTCACCTGCTGGGCTTCAGGTCAGATCCCTGCACTGTCATTCAAACACAACCAGCCTTGCCCTTTTATTCATGCCTTGCACTGCAGCAAATCTCACCCCACAGAATTCCCTCCTCTCTAGAATTCCTGGTGTGGGTTCCCAGCTGTAGAATTACATGGTTTTGGATCACAAATGATTTAGGAAAACTGCATCCTGAGTTTTTGAAGTCCCACTTTCAATTTCTCTTATAAGAGCAACAAAACCCTCAACATCAAGGACTTTTCTGAAGTTGTCACAATCCTTGTCACATCTGTGGCCAGATAAAGGAGGTCAGCTAGGAGTCACATTCTTCTGCATTTACCTCTCCTGTTAGAAAATTTAGTTTAGATTTAACTGTTACTATGTGAAGGATTTTGCTTTATATAAACAACAATTCTCAATGGCCTCAGGTATTATTTTCACAAGTGGTCACACCTGGAAGCAGCAGAGACGCTTCGGGCTGATGACCCTGCGGAACCTGGGGCTGGGCAAGAAAGGCCTGGAGCACCGAATCCAAGAGGAGGCCCGTCACCTGGTGGAGTACTTTATGAATGAGAGAGGTACATCATTGCCAGCATAGCTGGGTCTTTTCACTTCCAGAAGCATGTCTCTGTCATGCCAGCAAGAGGAGAGAATTCCAGGCCCCAGATGGCTAGATATGGGCAGAGTTAACCCCAGTGCTTTACGTGATCACAAGTGTTATGTGTGTTCAGATTGTATCTTAAGTGACAGGTTTCAGAGGGGTAGCCATGTTAGTCTGTATCAGCAAAAACAACGAGGAGTCCTTGTGGCACCTTAGACACTAAGAAATGTATTTGGGCATAAGCTTTTGTGGGTTAGAACCCACTTCATCAGATCCATGGAGTGAAAAATACAGTAAGCAGTTAAATAACGTAGGGCCAAGAACCAATCCCTGTTGTACTCCACTAGAAAAACACACGCTCAATGATGATTCCCCATTTACAGTTACATTTTGGGACCTGTCAGTTAGCCGTTTTATATCCGTTTAATGTGTGCAGTGTTCATTTTGTATCGTTCCTATTTTTTAACCAAACTGTCATGCAATACCAAGTCAAATGCCTTACAGAATTCTAAGTTTATTACATCAACACTAATTCCTTTATCAAACTACACTTGTAATCTAATCAGAAAAAGATATCTAGTTAATTTGACAGGATCTATTTTCCATAAACCTGTGTTGGTTGACATTAATTATATTATTCTCCTTTAATTCTTTATTAAACAAGTCCTGTATTAGCTGATCCCTTTTCTTGCCTGACAGCTATGGGTTCAGTGTCAGAGTAACAGATATATAATTGCCTGCCCTTTAAAATATTGGTACAACTTCCCCAGTGTTCCAAGTGTTGTTGAAAATCAACATTAATGGTCCAGCGAGCCCCTCGGCCAGCTCTTTTAGAAGTCTTAGAAGCAGATTATCAAGACCTTCTGACTTAAAAATGTCTGACTTTCCTAGCTGCTACTTAACATCCTCCTGAATTACTGTTGGAATGGAAAGTGTTTCATTATCATGTATGACTAGATCTTCTGGTTTTTTCCCAAATATAGAACAGAAATATTAGCTGAATACTTCTGCCTTTTCTGCATTATTATTGACAATCCTACCATTTCCATCTAGTAATGGAACAATACTATGAAAAGTGCATTTCAGTAGTCCATCCTAGAAGTGACCAAGACCTGGATAACTGCAGTGAGGGAAGACTATGACCGGGCACGGCCACAGTCTCCTTACTAGATTTACAACAGATAAAAAAAAAAAAAAAAAGCAGCATTCAAACACAGCAGGTGATCCAGCAGGTCCCCAAACCGGAGCACTTTTCTAGCAAAAGTTGGCCGAACCTTTTCTATCAGGCATCATTACCACCGACTGGTCTGGGTTTAGAGGCAGACAGCTCGGGGCTGTCTTTGAAAATCAGGCAACAATTAGTTTGGTGTCTAAATATGGAGTTAGGAACCTGCTTATATCAAATCAATGTTGGGCAATGAGTCCATCGAGAGGGCTTGACCCCCCCCCAGTACTACAGAATCAAAACCATTCAAAATGAGAACACCCTGCTGCCCTCACTCTCCCTCTTCAGTGGTCTGTTCAGGATTCATCTCTCAGTAGGGGGAGGGAGGAGCAGTGTTGGGAACATTAATGTGAATTCTGATCACTATTTTTGCAGGAGATCCCCTGGATCCTTCTTTCCCCATCGTCCATTCGGTCTCAAACGTGATTGCGGCGGTGGTGTTTGGACATCGCTTTTCCATTGAGGACAAAAATTTCCACCAGCTGATTGAAAACAATGATTACTTGGTCAAACATGAGAACAGCATCATCGAGCTAGTGAGTACATACAAGCTGTCATAAACATACAGCTAAGGATAGCATAAAATCCCTTCTTTACCTGTAACGGGTTAAGAAGCTCAAATAACCTGGTTGGCACCTGACCAAAAGGACCAATGAGGGGAGAAGATACTTTCAAATCTGTGGGGGAAGGTTTTTGTTTTGTGTTCCTTTGTTCTCTCGGGGTCAGTGAGGAACCAGGGCAGGGAAAATACATCTCCCTAAGCCATATCTGAACTAAGCATCTAATATTACAAAAATAGTAAGTAATAGCAAGAAAATGCGTTAGATTATCTTTTGTTTTACCTTGTGAATTTTCCCTGTGCTAAGAGGGAGTAACTTTAAAGTTTTGCCTAGAGGGGAAATCCTCTGTGTTTTGAATCTGATTACCCTGCAAATTACCTTCCATCCTGATTTTACAGAGGTGCTTCTTTTACTTTTTCTTTATAATAAAGTTCTATTTTTAAGAATCTGATTGGGTTTTTAGTGTCCTACAAACCCAAAGGTCTGGTCTGTGCTCACCTTGGTTACTCTCAAGCCTCCCCAGGAGAGGGGGTGAAGGGGCTTGGGGGGATATTTTGGGGAAACAGGAACTCCAAGTGGTCTTTTCTCTAAATCTTTGTCTAACTCACTTGGTGGTGGCAGCATACCATCCAAGGGCAAGGAAGAATTTGTGCCTTGGGGAAGTTTTTAACCTAAGCTGGTAGAAATAAGCTTAGGGGGTCTTTCATGCGGGTCCCCACATCTGTACCCTCAAGTTTAGAGTGGGGAGGGAACCCTGACACAAGCGCTTGTTATTTTATCTGTATCCAAAGCAAAGCGAGGTTTCTCACCCAACAAAGAAGGAAGTGAGATCTCTGTATTGAGGAATTTACTACGTATTATACAGTTCGTGAGGGCTGGTGTACGTGGAATCTTAGGCTCT